GCTGTAAACGTTTGCTGTCTTGAACAGTTAACCCTTACCTCGAAACTACTTTATTAGTGACATTTTTCACATCCTTACATGAGAACTTCTCTACTCATTTTGAAGTTGTCATAATATAGTTTTGATGTTTTGACACCGTAATGATCTATAGTTGATCCCACGAGTTTGCCGTTGTAGCGGTAAATGTGGTTGCTAAAGAACGAAGAGTTCAAGAATACTTGTACAAATATTCAACCATTTAGCACCACTCGTCTGCATTGCTTATTAGTGTTTCTAGTGTTACTATATTAAATATATTGTTCATTTTCGATTTTATATATCTGAGCTGAAGTGAACACTAATTATTTCTACCGTCCAGATCAACTGTGGGTACCGCGAATTTTGGAAACTAAATTTTGACTGGGCTCATGAATTCGGGATTCTAAGTGGGATCTCACTTATCTAGGGTACATAAACTGAAGTATCTTCGTTGGGGTATTTGGAGGTTTGGAGTAGTCACTTAAGAGTGCGAAATCTTAAACGTTGCTACAGTTCCAAATTTAGATATTTTTACATCATGCCTAATATGCGTATCTGGTTCTTCTTGCTAATGGACTTATAGGAGCGTTATTCAAATGATGATGTATTGGTGATTATTACTGCTACCTATGTTTACTAAACAAATTGACTTACCAAGTTTTAAACAGATGGGATATCAAAGGCCAATTTTGGTGTCACATGTGACAGCGCTTTTTCAATATCTCAATAGTTGTACCGTAGGACGTATTATTATAAATAATTCCAAAGTTTTCAAAGTAGTCTGATCAGCTTTCGCTTCTGTTTTAATCTCATTTAGCCTCTGGCCCTTGATTCCTGTTTGATTAAAATGCAGGACGTGTGTTACAATCAACAATCTGACAAAATAAAAGAGTCAATTTGGGACACTAGACCACTTATAACCTAACCCCTAAATGACAGTCTTAAACTCCTGATAGTACGTAATCGAAATTAAAGTCTACAGACAAGTCCCGGAGATTTTTCTCAAAACTTTCAGTTACTTTCTTGATTCATATTGAACCACTCGAAGCCCACATTCTTCCACGTATCCCTGAATTTGCATCACGCTTCCTTGGTGGAATGATAACTGCTTGCATGCTACAACCATCCCTTTGTTATGTGACTTCCTATCTCGTTACATTTGTAGCGTGGCGTCGAGTTGAGGTTAACTATGAACACCGCTACCAAGAAACACGTGCCAAATAGATCAGAAGGCGTAAGAAGCTCGTTCCAAATGACTCCATAAAATCCCCGAGAAGCCGAATACCAGAAGGCAATTAATGGACCAAGTCGAGTTATATTTGCTGGCGATCTCGTGGCATCGAAAGGATACCGAGATCGTGCCAGGATACAACCTTGGTTACAGAAGGTAACCGAATTCGCGCGAAGTTACAATCGAAGTGTAAGTATAAGAATGGAAGCACGAAATAGCTGTCATTAGCACAGTCAAACAAAAGCACATTAAAACAAACACTGGTACAGTTGGTTATAATAATAATTGTTTTTATTAAACCAGTCGTGTTCTCGTGATAAACGTGAGTCACTACAGGAGCCCCCCGCTAGAAAGGGTTTACACTTTCGATAAATAGCGGTTTGAATCGTGGGACTGATCGGCTGACGAGCGATTGTAGGACGGAAGAATTGGCGAACAGGAAAGCGATCGTTGATCGTCGAGTTGCCAACGAAGGTCGTTTTCGGAGAACGGTACCAGGAGCGATGTGCTGTATTTGTTGTTTGAGTTGGCATGCTACACCAGAGTGGTTTGTATCCAGAATCTGAAAATGGCGTTCGTAGGGGTCCGGACCAGAAACGCTGCAGACGTAGGACGAAACCACGTTGATCCGATGAACCAGAAGCGACCATAACGACCAAGTTCGAGACCAAGCGTGTGCCAAACATTCGAAACGAAGATATCGACTGAGTACGTTGACAAGAGCGTGGGTGATCAGGCCAGCTTTCGCCAAAGTTGACTGAAGTCGACGGAACCAAACGGAGATGGTCGAAGGCGTGGGCTCAGGAAACAAAAAGAAAATCAAAAAAGAGAAGAGTGTAGCATGCGTGTAGTATAGGAATAATCCTACACCGTATCGGTTTTTAACTGTGCGGCTAGTCGCGGAAGCGTACGGGTAACCGTACTCGGCGACCGGAACGTGAGACGGTAGTCTCGTTCGCGTCGCGTGAGCCTGCAATCTCATCCGAAGTCAAGGGCGGCGTGGTCTGCTGATCTGGACGTGAGACTGTCGTCTCGTCCGTAGACGGTGCAGATGACGCGTGCTGTTGACTGGGACGTGAGAATGAGGTCTCAGATGTATCTAGCGTGGGACCTGAAGATGATTTGAGGATCCCGCTAGTAGGTTTGCTAGGTCTAGCATTGAATCTCAGGTTGTCAGATAGGGCACTGTCATCGACGTGTGCTGGTTTGAGACGATCAATGCTGACGATCTCGACGCGGCCATGTCGATCAACCTTGAAGGTCATTTCGTGACGAGCGATCACGTGAAAAGGGCCTTCGTAAGGTTGTTGCCAAGGTTTGCGTACCGAATCTACTCGTACAAAAACATGTGAACAGGTAGATAACTCTCGAGGGAGAGCGACCTGTCGATGTTGTATTCGAGTTGACACCGGAGACAGCGTTCGCATAAATGCAGACAGTCGACGGACGTTGTCTGATTTACCGAAATTAGGTCTGCTCCGTGGTGTGAAGAATTCTCCGGGCAGACGCAATGTCGTGCCGTATACAAGTTCAAGGGCGGAACATTGGATATCTGCCTTTAAGCTCGTTCTGATCCCTAAAAGAACGAGCGGTAAGGTTTCGTGCCAGTTGCCATTTTCGTGTGCTCGTAGAGCATTTTAAGTTGGCAGTGAAACCGTTTACTTAACCATTTGGTGCTGTGTGGTAGACGGATATGCTCATGCGTATGCATTCCGTACCAAGCAGCCGGGTCAGCGAGGAGAATAGTTAATAGGGTAACATTTCTCGAATAAAGCGTGGAATTCATCGTCACGCGAATAAAAAGTAACAAGGATTCGGTACACATACATGTGAGTCTATTATATTAATACTATTCTTATCGTTATCCGTCATGTCGCGTATATTATATATTAAAAAATATGAAAATATACGACAGACGTGGATAGATAAATCATAGACTCACCGAATTGGCTTCTTTGGAAGATTTGATCAGAAGTTGAGGCGTGTTCCAAAATACGGGTCACCAATGTAGCGTGGCGTCGAGTTGAGATTAACTATGAACACCGCTACCAAGAAACACGTGCCAAATAGATCAGAAGGCGTAAGAAGCTCGTTCCAAATGACTCCATAAAATCCCCGAGAAGCCGAATACCAGAAGGCAATTAATGGACCAAGTCGAGTTATATTTGCTGGCGATCTCGTGGCATCGAAAGGATACCGAGATCGTGCCAGGATACAACCTTGGTTACAGAAGGTAACCGAATTCGCGCGAAGTTACAATCGAAGTGTAAGTATAAGAATGGAAGCACGAAATAGCTGTCATTAGCACAGTCAAACAAAAGCACATTAAAACAAACACTGGTACAGTTGGTTATAATAATAATTGTTTTTATTAAACCAGTCGTGTTCTCGTGATAAACGTGAGTCACTACACATTCATATCTTATAAAATATCAACCCAGCTATGTAATTTACTACAGTAGATATTGTATCATTTGTATCAGTTTGATCTTGCCTGTAAATTGGCATGCCTCATGTAACAAACTGTTATTTGAGAATAAATTATTATTATTATTATTATTATTATTATTATTATTAAAATCAAGGCAAAATTACATAGCAACATATGCATCAAATAAGTATGATTATGAGTACAAAATATACAAAGTGATAAAAGCGAATGATATCATTAGGCTACACAGCCACTGAGTTGCTGGGACAAGTTCATACAGTCAAATCTGGAGTATATCAAGTTACCGAACCCCTGAAACGCCTAAGAAGATGGTAAAAAGAAATGTTTTTCAGACGGACAAGAGATATAAAACCATTTTTGATGGAGTCTTGTTCTCATCTGGATGGCATTTCCGAAAAACTTTAATTGTTCTACCAAAAATCGTGAGCACAGAGAAACGTATCTAATGCTCCTGGAGTAAACCATCCAGTCTAAAGGACGAAACTCCAGTAAAAGCATTAACGTAAACTACCAATCTCCATCGTCACGCAACTGTGTCGTATGGTAACCACATTACATGTCTTGGAGAAGTCCTGGAGGTCAATATTCGCTCGACATTTGTGTTCAGCTGAAAGAATTCAGTTATCGTGGCCGCACAATGGTTTTCTATAACATGATATACTGCAAAGATAACCATGCTGGAATCCGAATAGAATGAAGCTATTGAATATGTAAGTCCGGATATGTGGAAGACGACTCATCAACAGTAGTATCTCAGACTTTTCGACCCTTAAAATTAATGAAGCTTACTTAGTTATGAAATGCAAAGTAACATATAATAATTGGAGCGATCCAGCAATAAGAGTGTTTTAAGATCTACCCAACAGTTACAAGTACTTATATACTGAACAATCAAGGCATTATAAGATCAAGATAGCCACTTCGTAGCATTCAAATACAAAATGCCCTCCGCCGCTTTGGCCTATCAAGGTCGTGTAGGCACAGTTGAGGTAATTTTAACTTGTCCCACTGCAACGGGATTAAAATCATGTATGATGTTGTTAATAGATTTTGTTTTCTTTCTATTGCAGGGCAAGCAAGAATAAATGCTTTAGAAGAAGAAGAGGAGCAAGCCCTGCACGCGCTAAACTTACAGGACGACTCATAAGACTGTTTTGTAAACGAGCTCTCTTTTCTGTACAGAACCCGCGAATTTTAAATAAACGACTGGTGGTCTCCATTCCGTGTTCTCTCTGTGGTGTGAAGTGTTCAGTTAACATTATGTGTGTTGTGGCTTTAGGTCTTCCGCCATCCAGTGACTGCTGATTACACGTGTTACACCACCGTAACGGTATTAAGAATCATTACACATGACGTTACTAATGTGAGTCTTTTCCCTATTGCAGGACAACAGACTCACATTAGTAACGTCATATGTAATGATTTTTAATAGCGTTACACCACGATGCCACTGGGTCGTTGTCCACCTAGCTACTCCTTCAAACCTTTTAGTGCGTCGTGGTTCTTTTTATGTATGTAATATTTATTTTTGGTAATATATTTTGCTGTAGTATTCTCTAAAAGCCTAGTACAAATTTCTTATGTCGAATTCATTAACTTGTTCGTATTATAATACTATTATAATAACAATGGTTGTATGAATTATTTGCTGTTGCCTTAAACGTAGCACACATTTCGTGAACACGCAGTCTGTGAAAACGATGGAGCCATCCCTTATGTAGATGAATGTAGGTAAATACATTTGATTGCTAACGCTCATATTAAAAAGTCTATATAAATGTTGCTTAAGTAGCCAGTTTACAATACTACAAGGTTGATATTGTGGTTTGTCGCTATGCGGCACTTCTAACTGGTGGTTTTACGATAAAATGTACTACAGTGCATTTTCCCTAAATAATTTGGGAATCCGAGGAAAATCCTCAGAACTGAGGAAAGTTTGGGATTGATGACGCATTTCAACAAAGTGTTATGTTGTTGCTTCTCTAGGAATGATAAATGTTTCTCCAAAGATTGAGTGTTGACGATATTAAATACTGTCTTTGTTTAATGACGTCAATAGAAAACTAGTGACAGTATTAAACGATCGGAAAAAAGCCAAGTGCACTTGAAAGTGTAATACCATATTCAAAATCCAGCGAAAGGAGTGGTTCATCTCCTCTACTGTCATCATTGCTAAGCCATATCACTTAAAGACACGGAATATAGTCTCACAAATCGTGGTCAGTAACGCTGTCTATCAAAATACTATTTGATAGATAATCTAAACCATTCTGTGACGAAAGTATAATTCGTACAGTATTCATTCTACTAGTCCATCATTAATAGTGTTGCTGTAGGGCAAGTGTTTGCAAGATTCAGCCACAAAGTCTCACCTGTTTGCTGTAATACTTCCTTTTTTGACCAGGCGATGTGATCTAACACTTGTCTATATTGCAACAATCACCAACTATGAACCTCATTTTATGGTAGAATAAGATCAAGCTACTTTCTTGTTTCTAGACTATTTTTTTAATTAAACCACTACCCAAGTAGTTCTTATTTAACTAGATCAACTGTCTTGAAAGTTCAAGAATTTTGTGGAAATAATATTTGCGATAAAAGGTGGGTTGTTTTGCTAATATTTTTTAGTTTCATTTGCTAACATACCATCTGTCCTATTTCATTACAGGTTTATAGCTAAATTTTGATGTCTGACTTAGCAGTATGCCGGTTTGCGTACGATGGGTTTGTTACCGCAGTACTAAAAATATTGGAATCAGATGGCGAAAAGTCGTTTGTTGACCAGGTTTTATTGTGAACTTTTTTAACTCTGGACTCAATACTTGCAGGCTGGGCGAAATCCTCTTCATTGGGCGGCTTGTGGGGTCATTTAGAGTTGGTAAAAGTTCTTCTGACTAGAGGTTTCGATAAAGATTGCAAAGATCAGGTAATAAGTATGTTTAAGTACACTTGAATACTCCTAGTTTTTCATTTATGAAAAATAACAGAGTTCTTTTTAGATGTATTAAAAACAGTGGTTTTAGTAGTACGTTATTTTGACAAAGTATACTTGCTCTATCCCTATTAAAATATATTAGTTCGCTAGTCACTCCTTACTTTTAGTGAAACTTTCATCTCACCATGATATAAACAACTCTTGTAGTGAGGACCTAGTATTATTTAGGCTCTGTCAATATTAATAGTCAAACGTCAAAAAAAGCAACTCATCAGCACTAACTAGCCTAAGATTAATTTTTGAGTGACAAAATATTTGGTTCGCATGTCTTCATAAGCCAAAGCAGGAACTTCATGTCTTTTTTCTGTGAGAGTTGTGATACTGTATGAGCATTTAGACTACAATAAATGTTCCTCTTCAAGCAAATTCCATGCTCATTGATCTGATTCGTGAACCAATTGACCACTTTTCACACTCGTTGAACTGGAACCTCGTGAAAGCAGTGTATAGGATAACCCCTAGAGACTGTTAACGCTCAATCGTACAGGGATATTTTATAAGAGACCAGGTTCCACATCTAAAGCTGTAGGCAATTTTTGATGGTTAATGATATAGGTGTTCATGGAAATTTTCATGCAAAGTGGCAATAATAGGTAGTGTTATCGAGCAATTCTACTGTCACTACTCTTTTTCAACTTCATTATAGGTATGCTGATGGGAGTGACTCTGCTTAGCTTCAACTTTTTCAGGATTGTTTTTCTGTTTAGATATCCTCAAGTTTGATAAAATTGTTGACGACACTTGAGTCTTTCAAAAATATGTTTGATATGTTATCAGCATTCATGAATTTTAAGATCATTTAAAAGGTCTGTATCATCATAAAAAAACATTGTAGATCATCATATTTTTCATCTATTATTTTATTTAGTCTAACTGGACTCCACTTATGATTGCTATTTCCGCTGGACGGGGTAACGTAGCTTCATATCTTATAGAGCAAGAGCATGCTGATGTAAATGTAATAAATTCGACAGGTCAGTGCTGTCTTCACTATTGTGCTTCTAAAAATCGTCTTCAAGTGAGTATTTTTCCGTATATTTTAAATATATTCACTGCATTATCATGTGCCTTATGTATATAAGTTTTCTCATTCGGGGTCCTATTTAAAATATAATTTCCATATACCTAGCTATACTTATTTTAATTATGCGAATCTAAATAAAAATGTCATTCCTCACTAATATAGCTTGATCCGATCACTCTAAGGCATCGTTCTAACCAATTAATAATTGAACCTTCATCAGTCTAAAAGCCTGTTCGATTCCATAAAGGATTTATTCAAAAAGCAATTTCAACAACCTTATAGAGCTGTATGTCATACAATGATGTCTGAGATCCGATTCGGTGGTAACTGTTAGTGCCTAATTAAAGTTTGGCCAGTTGAACTGCTCCCGATTCTTTTCCCCTCATTTTCATTGTAGTCATAAATAGATCGCATCTTCCTAAATCCTTTAACCTAACGATCAGTGACTTCTCTAATTATTACTGTCCTTGTTCAGTATTAAAACGAATATAGAAGAGATATCAATATTTTACGGTATCATGAAAATAGCATGTTGGATAAAAGTGAAGACTTAGTCTCCCTACAAGAAATTGTCTATGTCTACTGTTGAGTCCGACCACACTTGAAAGTTACATCGCTGCTGTCGAATTTCTACTGGTAATTCTTATAATAATAATAATAATAATAATAATAACTTTATTCTCTTTAATAATTTTTGGTGTCCCAAGCTGATGTTATTCTTAATTATACTAAACGGACAAGTTCAAAATTACATTCCTAACATTATTTTTCCAGTTGGTCAAACAGCTGTTAAATGCTGGTGCGAAACCAGACGTAAAAGATTGGGGAGGAGTTACACCGCTTCATCGTGCAATCGCCACAGAAAACCTAGATATAGCCAAACATCTTTTAGACCATACAATCACTGAAAATGATGTTGGTAATGAAGAAGGCTGCAATAAACTGTTTTCAACGCTTGTTGATTTAACTGACAAACAAGGCCAAACACCTCTGTAAGTTTTCGCTTTTAAATAAACAAGAATCTGTCTCCGACACTTTCTGTTCTTTTTACATAACTATCATCTACTAAGTTGTGTTTAGCATCAGGTTATTCTGCTATACGAATAAACAGGTTTTTACTGAACTTGAGCATAAAAAACAAATGTTTCATACTTTTTAGCTTTTGTATGATCATCTATTTGTCTTTACTGACAATTTATTACTCAAATAATCCGATTATCGACATTTAAACACACGGTTTACATATACATCGATTTATTACAATGTTCTAACACTGGGTTGGTTGTTTGGGACAACGCTATTACACATCCCAGTTCATAAAAGTCATTACTGTCTACTGGCACTATAAATATTCTAGTAAATCAGTCATCTCATGATAACATAAACGATAAGCTTGTCGGTTATTAGTGTCTCGCCTCCTTATATAAAATTGTCAAATTCAAGTCGTCATCAAGCGTGATTCATCATTCAAGTATATACAGGGGAAAAATAAGAAAGTAGTTACGCCTAAATGTATTTGTACGTTTGTTGCACATCTAATAACTAGTGGTTGCGTTATCGCTTCTCATTTCATCGCCATAATTCCATATTATTTTGAGTGATACGTCAATTTGTACTCAAATGATTGTAAAATCCAAAACAATTAGTAACGCTGTACAGTTTTACTTACAATTTATCAGAGTATTATTTTTATTATTAATCGAGAACATGAACCGACCAATGTTAGACCACTAGATGGCCGTTTCGTCCAGGTATGGGACTCCTCAGCATTGAGCGCATAATCGAAGGTCCCCGGTTGAAACCCCGCTTGCTGGATCGTGGATACGTACTGCTGACGAGTCCCATATCACGACACAATAGCTGTCCAGTGCTTCCAGGTTTTTAATCATGGTCTAACATTGATCATTTCATGACCTCAATTAAAATTGACATTCTCCACAACCATGTACCGATATTATTATGATTAAGTAATAAACTAGTGTCAATCCTAGTTCTAATAGGTTTAGAATAATAAGTTTTCATTAATTTCACTCATCATTTAGTATATTATATATTGTAAACCACAAATAACATTTCTTCGCATTACCATATCAAAATAGTCTGACTCACTAACCGATTTTAGAACTATATCACAAACTCTTAGCTACATTTTGTTTGAGAGCTTTTGATTCTTTTGTTGACTCAGCTCTCCAAACCGGTTGGAGTAATGTTCAAGATTGTCACGTATTGATTAGAACCAACCACTAAACTTCCATCGTTTCGTTATCATGGCTTCATTTGTGTAATTATGTTGTTAATCCTACCGGAAGTTTGACAAATCTTACCGTGGTTGATAAGTATTAGAATAAAAAATAGTCTTACATATGGTAAAAGTCCATTTCTTAGGAAATGCGTAAACCGTATGATTTTAATTATTTATTAACATGTCAAAAACTAATCCGCATACCATATACTTTGATCTGAATAGTTCAGTAATAACACGAATATGTCTGAAGGTTGACTTCATGAACCTATGACTAGTTATAATGTATTTATTGTAGTTTCAGTGAAAAGCCTCTTATTCACGAGTCATAGAAACGTTTTACTCTATGGTGTAGCATATCAACAAATTGCCAATTCATCTACAAATGAACTGGGATATGACCATTCACATTTTCCATTCCATGATTTAAAACTCTCCTTCCAAAGGTGAGCAATATAATATATATTACAAATAAGATTGTAAAGCCTTGGTAAAACAAACAGCTTAGTTAATGTACTCGGTTTTAAACTGACAGATCGTGTTTCGAACTTCGCTTAATTTCCCTTTTGGGGTAACTGAATGGTATTACTAGACGTCATAGAATGGGCTTAAAATCGAGTTATAGAAGAAACAAGAGTATGTATTCGCATTTCCGAACACGTTCCAAAGAATTTCAGACTGAAATGTACAAGTCTAAACAGTACAACAACTCAGCATTTGACAGGCGGTATATTGTTGGCGTTAACAATACATTGCCTCGGTAAATCCACATTTTTGATTGAAGTCACCTTACTTGCTTTTATTTTGTGCGGCAATCTTCGCTAGGCTAAGTTACTACATCCAAGCTAAAATGATGTGTTGTCCGTTTTTCACTAACCAATCGTCAAAACTTTGCGAAATTTCTATAGTCATTACTTAGTATCAAATTCTAGACAGTTACCAAATCCTCGCTCCATATTTTCTACATATACCTCCAAATGTTCTTAAATCCTTCAAACCCATAATAATTGCACGAGTGAGATTACCAGTTTCCGGACTGCCTCACCCCTGTTTTTGAATTCCATCTTCGAACAACCTCACACATGCATTATAATATACACACAATTGACAGTCGTTATCATTCCATCGCTGATCTTTGTTACTTCATATTACATCTCATTGTTACACTAATACGAATACAATCGTAAAGAGCTGAAGAGAAACCACGAAATATGAACTCATTATTGTCTCACCCGACCGTTGTTGCTACCTTGACGTGGTGGTCGGGCTTGCCTATCGTGATGAAGCAACCGAGCTATACTGGCTGGAACAACCGTTCCTCAAGGTCCTACCATGTCAGACAGGTCGGTTGAAGAGCGGTAAGACTAAAAGCAACAAACCCAAGGTCCGAAGGCGAAGTCGTACTGCTGACTGTACAGAGGTGTGACAGCAGTAAGGTGTTTCCTTCAGACAACCAGCATGACAGCGATGCTGCCTTCCCACAAGGAGGGGTGGGGTTAGAAAAGGTCGACCCTAAAAATGCACACCTCACCTTACCTCACGGATTTCCGTCTCCGGCGGTAAGGCCCTTTGAAGAACGGAGCTAACACGTCAAAACCTCTCACGAAAAGGCCGTGCGCGACCGGCCTCAAGCAGTTGTCCCTTGGGCACTGCGGTCACGCTCTCAGGTCACTGAGACCACCTCTAATCCAATTTCCTTTTCAGGTACCTCCAGAAGAACCCTTCCACGGTGTGGGCAACCGGGAAGTGATAACCGCCCTCATACCTCTAACAGCACTCAAGACCACTGTATTCATAATCAACCTTCCTCTTCAATTCCTATTATTCCTCCTACATCGACTTTCAACCCTAAACTTCCTCCTTCGGCTTCCTCCTCAAGTGTCACCATAGCCAACGATTCTAGTGCTCAAAACCTGTCCCAGGTCTACTGAAACCTCGCTCCAAACTACACATTGGAGCCTTCAACGTACGCACCCTATGTCAAATCGGTCAGCAGGCTTCCTTGGCTAAAACCCTAGAGTCTCTTTCCATTGATGTATGCTGTGTCTCCGAAACACGCATACAGGATTCCAGTGTGGTCATTCACTTGACCTCACCTCGGCAAAACGGAGAGCCAACGAGATACACCCTACGTGTATCTGGTGACCCGATGGCCAGTTCTCGTGGACTGGCAGGTGTAGGCATAGCACTAAGCATGAGGGCGGAACAAGCACTGCTAGAGTGGATCCCCGTCAACAGTCGTCTATGTGCTGTTCGGCTAAACGGCTCCGTAAGAACTCGGAAGGATAGGGACACACGTCGTTGCCTTTTCGTCGTTTCTGCCTACGCTCCCACTGACTGCAGCTCAGATGAAGTGAAAGATGAATTTTACAGAAAGCTTCTGAACTTCTTCAGAAAGCTAAACGCTCAGACATAGTACTCGTAGGGGTGACTTTAATGCTCAGATAGGTAGTTTAAACCAAACAGAAAGGCATTTAGGTGGATATTTTAGCATTCCGGCACAGCGAACAGATAATGGTGATCGTCTGCTGCAACTGTGCTCAGACAATCGTTTATTTTTAGCAAACACAAATTTTAAGCATAAGGAGAGACATCGTCTAACATGGCGACCCCCTACACCAAACCAACGATGGACTCAAATAGACCATATTGCCATCAGTCATCGTTGGAGAGGGTCGGTAGAAGATTGTCGCTCATTCTGGAGTACCTGCTTGGACTCCGACCATGCCCTAATACGGGCACGCATCTGCTTGCGCCTCACTGGACGCAAAAAAGCCACATTAAAAAGACCCATTAGAACTGAGTTGAGTAACGAGAAAACCAAAAGTAGGTTCCAGGAACAACTGAGGTCACACTTAGGTAGTTCGAAGACGAGGCTGACCCAGATGTTGCTTGGAAAGATATTCAAGCAGCAGTGACATCTATTAGCGACTTAAACCACAGAGTTACAAAGAACCAGTGGATTTCTTCAAAGTCTATCACACTGATGGATTCTCGCAAACTCGTCCCATCAGGTTCCGAACATGATGAAGAGCGACAACAAATCAGATCTAGGTTAAGAAAAAGTCTAAGAAACGACCGTGAGCAGTGGTGGGCAACGAAAGCAAAAGAGATGGAAAAGGCGGCGACTATAGGGAACACAAGACAGCTTTACAGACTAATAAAAGAAACTGGAATTAATAAGTCAAGTGTAAGTGAGATTATTTCGGAAAAAGATGACACTCTCATCTGCTCCCAGTCCAGACGTTTAGAACGATGGGCGGAACAGTTCAGCTGGCCTTCAGCTACTCTACAACTACCCTCCATTCCCAGACAGCGTGAATGGAACATTGAAGTAGGTCCCCCAACTCTTGCTGAAGTTCAAAAGGCTATAGTTAATCTGAAACGAGGAAGGGCAGCTGGTCCAGATGGACTGGCTCCAGAAGTCTTTAAGGATGGTGGTCCAATTTTAGCGATTAGGTTGACTAATATTTTAGCTAAAATCTGGGAGTTAGACGTTATCCCATCTGACTGGTCACAATCACTTATCGTCCCAATATATAAGAAAGGGTCAAAATCATCCTGTGACAACCACAGAGGGATTAGTTTAACTAATATAATATCTAAAATACTAGCCTCGATAATTATCAGACGCCTAACTAAGACTCGTGAACTGCAAACACGAGAGAACCAAGCTGGCTTTAGACCTGGTCGTGGCTGCATCGACCACATATTCACCATTCGTCAGGTTCTAGAACACAGGCATACTTATCGGCGTCCGACAATGGTGGTCTTTCTTGACTTAAAAGCAGCATTTGACTCTGTAGACCGCGAGATTCTGTGGCAGTGTCTGTCATTGAAAGGCGTACCCCAGAAGTACATAAACCTTGTGAAGGCTCTTTACTCGAACACTACTAGTCGAGTCAGAGCTTATGGCGAACTGTCATCTACCTTTGCAACCTCAAGTGGTGTCCGTCAAGGCTGTCCACTTTCTCCATTTTTGTTTAACTTCATCATAGATCTACTGATGGAAATAACTTTCTCGTCGACTGAATTCTCGGGTATTGATCTCCATCCAGGAGGTCCACTTATCGACTTAGAATACGCAGATGACATAGTCCTGTTTGGTGAAGACGCTGACAAAATGCAGAGTCTTCTGGTAGCACTAAGCAACAATGCCAGAATGTTTGGAATGCGCTTCTCTCCCTCTAAATGCAAGTTGTTGCTTCAGGACTGGTCTGCGTCAACACCTGAACTAAGGATAGGGAGTGAAGTAGTCGAACGCGTTGACAACTTCACTTATCTTGGAAGTCTGATCAGCCCTAATGGGTTGGTGTCTGACGAAATCTCAGCACGGATTCGAAAAGCTCGCTTGGCTTTTGCCAACTTACGTCACCTGTGGCGAAGGCGAGATATCCGTCTATCAATAAAAGGACGAGTATACTGCGCGGCAGTCCGTTCTGTTTTAATTTACGGCAGCGAAACATGGCCATTAAGAGTAGAAGACACTCGTAAGCTATTAGTATTTGACCACAGATGCCTTAGAAATATTGCTGGCATCTGCTGGGATCACCGGGTAAGTAATAGTGAGGTTAGACGCAGGGTATTAGGGAATGATGGTAAATCAGTTGATGAGGTTATGAATCTTCATCGACTGAGATGGTTGGGCCACGTGTTACGTATGCCTGAACACCGATTACCACGACGTGCAATGCTATCCGGTATTGGAGATGGTTGGAAGAAAGTTAGGGGCGGCCAAACCAAAACGTGGCATCAGTGCTTGAAGTCACTAACTTCTAGTCTGAGCCATGTTGGTAGATGCAGACTACTTGGTTGGGGTCCGCGTGACTTTCGTAACCAATGGTTGGAGACTCTTGGTGACATGGCTCAGAATCGATCACAATGGCGTCGGTGTATACACTCCCTGTCTTCCCTTAAACTAAGAGATTAAAATCACTTCATATCTTTCTTTCTACGAACCAATTCTTTCTTCTTGTACTATATCTCTATATGCAATCTTCCCCTTATTTATTACCACCTTTGACATAACCACTGCTATGAATCCGGTGTTCATCTTGTTGTGCTGATGCGGTATGGAAACCTGGACCGATGCACATATGTGCCTGGTCCTACGTTGTAGATGACTGACTGATTATTGTCTCAATTGTCATTTTGACTTCATTTAAATTCATAAAGAAAACCACTAGTCAAATATATTTCTTATAGTATTTTGTGGTTTTTAGTTATTAGTTAAACTTTAATACGACTGACTAGAAAAAACTGATAAACTTAGCTTTGTAATCGAGTGAAAGCTTAGAGTCATCGCTGTCCAGTTGTTAAACTAGTTATCGTAAAACATTTAACTTTTTAGTGTAGAATTAATTTTGCTCATACGCCTCTTTTTACTATGGAAAAATCACATTATTTGTTATGCATCAATACCATATGTCCTTTTTACTTGTTTATTATAGACACTATGCATGCGAAGAAGGCAATTTCCAAGCTGCAACTTTACTAATGAATTATGGTGCCTCTATAAATCATAAAGATACAGTAAGTCTACTTGAACGTATAGGCTTTTTCTCATATATTGATCATCTGCTAAAATAATCTTTATTATCCCTGTGTAGATAAGTGAATACACCAAAATGGTTCCGAGATTATCGAGATGAGATATGGATGTTTGACCCTAAACATACTAGTCAGCTAATATTTTACGGCTAAATATATGAAGTACCGTACTACAAAAATCACATACTGTCAAATCAGTGCAATAGTAGCATGAAAATGATTATTTCGTGAATCTACTACCAAACCCATTTTCGCCTTTTCTTAGTTTATACTTCTATCCTATTGTAGTGAACACGAACACCAGTGGGGACAATCGAATGTATTTAACACAAAATTAAAGGACCTGTTAATAAAATCTAACATTCATAAGGTAAATGCTTAGTTTGCAAAATGTTCATCAATTGTCTTAAAATGGCTCAGACTTCATTGTTCTTGCATTTTCATATAAATTGCATCCTGTTTCCATTCTTTACTTTTCGATCCTCATGTCTCTCTGGTACCAGACCTGTTCACGACAAACATCATATACTACTTATATCAATATAAGTAGCACACACCACAATATAACATGCTTTACGCAGTCTTAGGCGAGAGTATATGACACTTTTGTCGAACAAGATTTCTTCTACAACCTGTAATCCCTGTACCGACTAAAGGAAATGTAATAATAGTAGACTTTAACTAAAGAGCTGTCTGTCTCTACCAAATGTATGGTACGCACCAGACCAATCTAAAAAAAACCTGTCAACTGTAGTGTTAAGGTTGATATCAATTAAAAATAATCTGTGGGATCTGATGTATTACTCGAAAATAACCCGTCATTTATGTAGTTACTATGAGTCTGTGACCTAATTGTGGTTATTATCATTTCATCCGGGAAATCAGATTATGTCCATGCACTTATCTAAAAAATCTTCCCATACATCTATTTGTTGAGGAGAGTGAAGGCAATTACTATTATGTTGGTCAGTGTTTTGAAGTAAGTATGCACCAAAAGTTGTGACGTGCTGGGTTTCGTCTTATTTCAATGATAAGTCACTAAATATTGGGTAACAACCAAACGTTTTTAGATTGATATCCGATTTTAAAACGGTGTCGAATTCCTATAATTCTAAAAAGTTCAATTAGGCTACCTGAGATATCACTATTCTTAGTCATTGACTTTAGTTATGTAATACGCTTGTACTTTTCCAGATAATCACAACCGTACAGTGGCTAATTGCAAAAAGACCCCAATTCATGCATAACCACTTATCTCGATTAAGCTCAACGTCATGTCACTTTAGATACGTCTGTCCGTGTAAATTAGAACAACTTATCAAAACTACCATAAAATATTTCTTCCTTGAAACGTTATTTAGTGTCTTAATCTGTTTTCTGAATTCCGAAGATGTTAACCCTACTCGATATAATGAATCTCTGTATCCTAGTCACAATTTTTACTGTACATCAATCCAAAGCTTCGGTCATCCGTGCCAAACATACCTAAAGACAACAATATAAAGATTATTTATCCACATAGCAAACAACAACTGAATTCTTGGAGTTACCTAACAAGTTAAGACAGATATGACGAGTTATTGGTATCAGCATAATCTTTAAATAAATAGAAATTGTTTATTTACGAGACGTTCTTACTCCTTCACATCGACACATTATTTTCCACTACCATAGCGTAATTAAGCACTTCTTTCTAAAAAGATTAACGTTGTGACGAAACTCCTAGTAAGTACATGAATAACTGCTAAAATAGAAGATGGGGAACCGACACTATAAAGGCCTTTTTCAGACTGTTTCCATAGAATTGACGGCCGTTACTCGAGATCTCCACTAGCATTTCAATGTCCGCGGCTGACTCCTTCAAAGTACTAAAGCCAAGACTTAAGTAACTTACAGCTGTATCGATACTCTACTAAGACAAGACATCAAGATCATTTAGTAAAAAAAAGTTAGACGGGTTTAAACAAGTCAGGATCCAAATAAGATATACATGGATCAAAGCACCCTGCTGTAGTATCACCGAATAGATTGGCTTACTACAGTCAGTAGTTCGTAAATCCTAGGCTACTTGTTTTTTACATGCGTATTTGATTCATTTTGTTAAATCAGTCTATTATGTGCTGTTTTTTTTAGGATGGCAGAACACCCATAGATGTTGCCCCGGACCATTTGCGAATGAATTTGTTAAAACTATTAAAAGCTAAATAGAAAATTAATCCTTTTATAAATATTCGTTTATTCCCAAATAAAGAACTGTTTTGTACGTAAAGCCGATGTGGTTTTAGTACTAAAGTAAAATGCAGTATCTTCAGTTTCGAAAGCCTCCACCGGGAAAAAGTGATCGAGATCCCCCTATTTTGAAGATAGGAATACTTGTTCCTCTGGGTATCATCATATTTGACTAGTAGGTTGAATACCCAGAAGCCCATTCTAGTTTTGAAGGACAATTCGTACTGCTGACTACTTCTAAATAAACAGCACTTACAGCGAAGTGATAAATACGGTTTTCAGGACTCCACATACTTGCCTACAAAATCTCCGTACAAATGATAAAGCACTCCAAGGTAGAATTACGCAAATACCTAGTTGCAATATCGTTCTGTGAAGGACCATAATCACTTCACCTGTTGAGATATTCACAAATGGGATTTATCTTGCCAGGTATCCGAAGATCAATATTTGTACAACCATTTGATCACAAAGGCGAGGTATATGCTGTTAGTTGAATCAGCGTAAGCTGCAATTTGAAAGATGCAGAAGACTGATTTCACCAAACTGTCCGACCAAAAGATTAAGGCGACATGTACAGCCATCATACCCGCTGATTTCAAATAAAAGCTAGGCCGGGATGTGATACTTTCGCAAACTTATGCCCATAACTATGATTGTGTATACCAACCGGACTTTGCTGCCCGCAGGTACTGACTTTTGGCTTCGAAAAGTTGACTGCATTCAGTGCGGGTGGTACTGTTGGTAGTAATATTTGAAGGTAGAAAATAATGTTTATTCTGATCTACATATCTTCTGACGTGTGCTTAGCTATCAATCGACGTGAAAAAAAATAAGTTTTCCCGAGCTAAATCTGTGGGTAATGAACCCCAGGACTTTTGTGAAACAAGCTAGTTAGGCACTAACTAGGGCGCAACGACGACTCTATACTTTATAGTCTGCTGAAGCAGCAATGACATCGTTGAAATAGGCACGAAACATACCGAAGTCACGAGTCTCGGCTTAATGAGGCGTCTACGTATACCGAACGCAAATAGTAGGTGATCGATATAGGTTGGGTTAAGGAAATAGGCACATACAGTGCTCACTTAAAGTGACTTCGTCATAATTTGTGCTTTTGTCCAAACAGCTCGCATCATTTTTACTTGGCTTTTTTATTTAACGGCCGAACAAGAGTCGACAGTCACGTGATTTATGTTCCTCTTTTACATAACAGCAAACACCATGCCTTGACAAACGGCTCAGCAGCGCACTATTTAGGACCAGACGAAGTAGACTAGGTTCCCTCGAAATTAAAGCCATTCTTACATTTAACTAGTTTTAGTGGCTTTTCTTTGACAGAAACCCCCACACAGTAATCATATAAGCTAAGTAAGGCTTGATATATTATCACTAACGTTGCGATTCCCTTAATACATAAAATAATTTCCTTGTTCAACCTGGCGAAACCTAGGCTTCTAGAATTATGATAAGTCGGCCAGAGACAGGACAATATCGAGTAAATGCACACTGGCTTGAACTGCCACATAAGTGGAGAAAGATAAAATCCCCATAATGGGTAGTGGAGTTGTAGCAATATCCAACCAAAAGGAGATTACACACGATTCAGGGAGGATTAAACTGCGTAATATAACGAGTAGAGTAAGCTTCAACGCAGGATTTAGGGTTAGTAGATGAGTAAGAGTACATGATCCACTGGGGTTGGTTTTGAACAGCACCATCAACTGCGTACGGAAACTGAATGGACCTTAAATAAATACTACTCTCGGGGGGCGGATATATAGCGGCACGCAGATAATTCCTCCGGGCTACCAAGTTTAGTTGTTGACCAATGTAGGGTGTCAGATCTAGTCAATTAACAACAAAGACAAGTTTGAAGAGAACATATACATTTGGCTATCAAATTAATTTCTAAGGTTGATTTATTACTTCAACTACCCACATAAATGTTGGAATCATAACCATACACACCGTCTCTTACGCCACATTTTCTAAAAATCAAACTTTTAAAATATGAACGAATACTAATTGGTTTTCCATCTTTCCAGTTTGTTACTTTTACGTGCTTCCCAACTCGTTTAGATGCATCGACCTTGTATTCACTTTTCAAACATTCTCTAACAGCTTTCGCACAAATTGAGGAGTATCTTATGTAACTGGATGAAGTGACTACATAATAACAGATACAACATACTTTATTCCTGCTAACCTCCAGAGTGACATTGTGTGTAAACGCCGCCAATGTTAGCTGATTCTTAGTCAATTGTCCAATGACGAATGACCGAGTCAACATGAATAGGATTTCCTTTTAAATGAGCTATTTCGAGGTGACATCGTAATGAATCTCGACGAACAAAACACCAGTATTAGGCGGTCGAATAGACTTGACTGGATGCACCGCGTTTGTACTCCTGATTTCGCAGAAGTTTAGATTCGCATCCACTGAAGTAGAAAAAAGACCCACAAGTTGAAATGTCGTTTCGTTAAGGAATTGTTCTACGGCGTATCCAACTTCACCTTTTATTACATTGACAATACCGAGTAACGCGAATGTAAGGGCATCAGTTCACTGTGGTACGTTGACAGCTAAGAGTAAGGCTTTCAACTGTCGGTTGTATCGTTTTACCTACCTGTTCGCTTTTTGAGGCAGATAGTCGTTTGGAATCGTGTGATTCCTAATAGTTTAGAAAGACAACGCTAATGGTTAACTTCAAACTGGCGTCCGCGTTTTGCAAAATAGTTGAATTGCAGTATATGTCTGCCGTCCATCATTCGACGAAAGCATCATCCATTGTTTCAAAGATAATTTTCTTGATGGTTACTGCTTACAGCCACCGACTGAAACGTTCTACATACGTCGAGGGGTGAGGGTTTCCGTTTAAATCTGGTAAGGGTGTTACCAAAGCAAGATTAGCATGGTCAAAACGAGCTTCGGAAATTTTTAATGAGCCTATAGAATACTTGTGTCTAACAGCCTTGGATTTCTGAAAGCTTACATCGGAACATGCTCACTCCCTCACGTTTTTATACCAGGCTGGAAAAATCATTCTACTGCGGGCTTGATGGTTGCTGGAACACCTGGACGAGAATGTTTGTGCAACGTTTTGAGACGTTGCGTCGATAACGTTTTGAGTACGATTAGACAATCCCTACCTGTATGTGTCACATAGCAAATTTTCCTAAATGCTCCCATCTTTTTAATACGTAGTTTCAGGGTTGTCGATGATATCAGTGTCTTCTCTTCGAAACAGAAAGTTTATGAAGGCTGGTTTCTTGAAAACCGCTCAAGGATGTTATACGTGACAAAACGTCCGCAATTACACTGTTTGCCCGAGAAATATGTTGTACATATGAAGTAAGCTGCGAAATGCCGTCCGCTTGTCGAGACTCTCAAGCGGAGTACATGTCTAAAAACGAGATATGGGTAAAAGTGAGAGATTTTTGGTCGGTGAACAGAATGAATTTTCAGCCTTTGACAGAGCGTTGAAAGTGCTGTACAGAACAATACATAGCTAGGTGTTCCCTACCTCAATTCACTGTCTTGCAACCGTCTCGAGTAGAATACCAAAGATTATCATTATTATTATCCACAAACATCTTATGAGTACATATGTGTTGTAAAGAAATCACTTTAGGTTTCTTCAGAAAAACAACAATACACAAGCCTAAATTATGGTAACGTAATATTCGCCATATACAAAAGAGGAGAACAGAATGATAGAATAATAATATTATAATAAATGAGGTTCTGAGTAATTGAGAAGAATAGTGAGTTGACTTTAAAGAAGGAAAGGAGGAAAATAAGGGAATAGAAATGCAGAAAACGTGAAATACGTGAATAGTTTAATAAACCTGTTTGTGAACACAGAACAACAATAAACGACCATAGATGTATCGCCAAATAAATAGCATAAACAAGAAATCAACTTACTATTGCAGTAAGACGTGACGGTAGAATACATGTTTATGGAGTAATGGTTTGAAGTGGTCCTATGAAATTGAAAAAGATCTTAGATGGTCCTATGAAAGTCTTAATAAAATGCAAAGGATATCCAAATATAAATAAGCATGAGTTATATATACGTAGTGAAGATAAAACGAGTCTGAGAAGTTAATTTAAGTGTAATACAAGATATTGTCTTAATTACAAACTTCGGAACATTAAGAATAATTTTTTTTGAAAGGAAAAGAGAGAGAATAGAAATGAACACCTAGTGTAAGAGTTCAATCATGGTAATAAGAGTGTATTGAGTATCGACTTCTGCAAGAGAAGAAAATGGACAAACCACTGTTACGTCATTGGTAAAAAAGAAAGATTTACCATATTGAAAGGGAGAACACACGTCATTGATTAAAATGGAAAAAGCGTAATGGACCTATCACATTTTTTGTACAGCTCCACTGGTTACATTCACACGCTTAGAGTAGCCACATCCAAAGCGAATGGTCTGGTTGAGTGCTGCTAGAAGCAATCCGCGCCAAGATAAGACGGAATTCCGCATGCCACATGGAGAAAGTTTTAGGAGTTTGTGAGGAACAATGCTGAAGGCCTTACCAAAATCGCAGTACAGAATTATCAGTGACTGGCCATCATCTCTTCTCTGGGTAATTTGACCGGAAAATTCGTGGTGAGATGGGAAGAATGAGCATTCGATCATGAGCCCGCATTGGGCTGAGCTCGTCAGGCTAGCCGAAAGTAAAAATGGTAATGGCTGTTGTGGATGATTTTTCCATGGTTATTAATAACACAGATGTCAAGTTAACAGGCCTATGGTTACTAATATCACCAAATGATCCCGCTTTGAATCTAGGGGTGATAAGTTATGTTGCCCACGCAGATGAATAGATCCCATATTCCACAGATAGGATGAAACGTTTCAAACAAAACAGTGGGAATTCTCTACCACCATATTTCACTAATGGTGAAGCAATCTCTTCAGGTCGGCCGTTATAAGAGGTTCTCAGGGCAGCTGTGACCT